TGAACCAACACCGTGAGCTCTTCTCTGTGTAAAAAACTAAGAGAGGTAACAGGAGTGATGAAACCCATCGACATTAGGGCTGGAAAGAGCAACAAAATCCTCATTTTCAGCCATCACTACTGGAGGTACCACCACCACAGAGAGATCTGCTCGGCAGATCCTTCGCTACCTCAACCCGTTTCTCCAGCTCCATCACGTCGCTCTGCGGGGAAAACCCAGCCCGGCGAAGCCACAACCCGCCCCGGGAGACAGAGACGGCGGCTTCCTCTCTGATGTGGCTGCCAGCTGTGAAGCAGAAATTAATACCAGCTCCTCTGGTTTTTGTTTTTAGCCAATGTGCCATTAAAAACCAAAGGCTCATCATCGCCTTCCAGCTCGTGTGAAAGAAAATATATTCCAGTTGGCTATGGCAGCAAATCCAGAAAATGGTGGTACCTGATTGACGGTTCCGGCTCTCTGGCTTTGGGTGCTGGAGATATTTCTCCGTGCTACTTCCAATTCCTGCCCCGAGCGGCTCGTGACAGCCTCCACAGCTAAGAAACCCAGGGGCCCGCCATCAGTTGGGCCACTTTATATTGAAATACATCTCATAAATTAGCTCTGCGAGAAACAGCCCTTTGAATTCAAAGCGTATTAAGCTCTTTTGGCTCCCTACGCTCCTCAGAGTTCTGCCTGCGACAGACATCGATCTCTTATTTTGCTCTTTGCTTCTCGTAACAAGCCACGATAGAAAGATGACATCAAAGGCAGGCACGCAGAGCATGTCCTCAAGGCTTCGAGTCTCTGGTAGCGCCGCCTTCTTTAGAAATTCTACTCCACCACCACCATTTTTCCTGTTTTGTTGCCCAAGAAGTGTGCTGGGCCCTCACCACAGAGCTACCGAGGCAAAACCAGAATTTAGTAACAAAAGCATCTGCGTGTCGCTGGTGACTTTGAACTCCAGCAATGTTTTTTCAGGGAGGATCGCAGGCTGAGTGCTGAGTTCCTCTCTTGATAATATCTGTATTTTTTTCCTTGCAATGAAGATGAGGAGGAATTAATTAATTTAAAAGCCGCGTGCTCTCAGCCTCTGCAGACAAAGAGCTCTGCCCATCCTGAACACCTCAAGGTAATCGCTGCATTATGCCGGCTGATACAGCTGAAGACACTGAGAGCAGACAGAATATATCAATATAGTTTAAAACAGAAAGGAAAACCAAGCATACTCCAGTTCTGCAAAATGGAGAGACTACCACGTCGGTGCTCCTGCAGACATCCTCTGAGCTTGGAAATCTGGGGGAGACCGAACGCCAGTGGAGAAGAAAAAGCAGAGGTTCCCCTGCATCCCCAAAGGGTCAGTTCTGCTCAGCTTCTGTCTCTTCCTGGAAAATTCATTTTCCTGGGCTGTAACAAAGAGCAAGCATACTCCAGTTCTGCAAAATGGAGAGACTACCACGTCGGTGCTCCTGCAGACATCCTCTGAGCTTGGAAATCTGGGGGAGACCGAACGCCAGTGGAGAAGAAAAAGCAGAGGTTCCCCTGCATCCCCAAAGGGTCAGTTCTGCTCAGCTTCTGTCTCTTCCTGGAAAATTCATTTTCCTGGGCTGTAACAAAGAGCTGCTGGAGAATAAAGATACCTAAGGGAAAGGCTCCGCACTTGGAACATCCTTGTTTCTGTATCTACATCGAGCTTGCTGGAGTAAAACCCACGAGTGGTGTTTCTGTGCCTGTCGGATGGAAGGCGCAGCCTGTAACGCGCTGGAGGAACAAGCACATTTCTTCCGCCCCTGAAAAGGGGCTGCCTTCATCCCAAAACCAGGGGACACGCCCGTGGGTCTCACCAGCACTGCGCAGCCACGTCAGGGCAGAGGTGGCTTAACACCTCTTTCAGAAGCCCAACATCTTCAGGTGAGTTGGGCTGTAACTACAAGAAGGACCCTCTGGAGTACGTGCTGCAGCCACGAGGTAATTCTTCAGAGCTCCTGGGTCTGAGTGGTCTCCCAGCCCAGGCAGCCCAGCTGCCCTCCGAGGGAATCAGGCAGGGTGATCGGTGGCCAAACCGCCCGGTAACAAGCGCACACCTCTGCCAAAAACCCCACAGAAATGTCGCTAAAAGTCACAGAGCTCACGCTTACCACCACGTGTTTGAGGAGCTTCCCTCATCCCCATTTCTACCAGATCATAAAAGAAGTCTCTCGGCCTTTAGTCCAAGAACAAAAAAAATAATACTACAGCCCTTTCTCCCTGCTCCTGAAGCTCGGCATCTGGATTTTCCAGCGTAGGGCACAGACACGCAATTCCTCGTTCGGTGTAGACGGGCACCTGAATTAGCAGTTGCCTCCAGATGAAGTTATTTCCAGCTGTCTTCCTCTCTCCAAGGGAGAACTGGAAAATTATTGCCCCCCAAAAAGGCTGGCAGAGAAACACAACATGGTTACACATCATTAAAGGAGGGATGAAGCACAAAAAACTGACCTCAAGAGCTTTTTGCTTTCCTTGAGGTACTGAGCTTTTAATAATAATCAGAATTTCAAACGATCTTTTACGTGACTCGAGAAATATTTGTGTCTCTGTTGCCAAAGCCAATGTATTGGCTAATGCGTGCTGTCTAGCCTAACGACATTAGAGCATTAAAATTAATCTTCTGCATAATTATAAGCTCAAAATGCTGCAAGTAATTTTTATTTTTAATTTAAACTACAGGACATTACAAAGCAAGCAGTAATATTGCAAGCTGGAACCTGGCTGCGTAAAACCTTATTTACACAAAGAGTCCCATTTCTCTACTTTGTAAGGAAATTAATTTGTGTTATGAAGCAGCCCGGAATGAAAGAACAAGTGCCAGAGCAGTGAAATGACCCGAGTGAAATAAAAATAGAAAAAGATTAACGGGGAAAAACCCAACCCTGTGGTTGGTAGAGTGAAAGGATCTTTCTGATCTTCTCTAGATATTGGATTTTATTTAAGATCCAGCATATTGACCTGGCACAGCATTACACAAATACGGAACAAGGCCAATCTCAGCTTTTCATTTCATTTAATCCATAACAGAGAACAGCCCTGGATGCCGTTGCACACCTACTGCTTGCTTATGAAAGGATAAACTAAAAAAACCAAACCTTATTTTAAATGTCATTTTTAAAAACCAAAAACCAATTCACAAGCTGCTGTCCCTCCTCTGTTTCTTACCAAAACTTCACCGAATTCAAAGGATATATTTAACTGAACAACCCCAGCTCGCAGTCAGGACCGTAAAGCAGGGTGGAAACGCTTCAGCATGGCGAGGCGTGAGGAACAGCCACCACTGACCCGGCAGCTAAATACAAGTCACTGACTGATTTCACTCCTTTCCCAGTTTCATTTCCAGGAAATCCCGAGAAAAAAAGCAGCAGTTTTCTATAGAAGATCCAGCAAATAAAGAAACAGCGGCCATTAAATGCAAAACCGGAGACGTGACAGGACGCTGAAACCAGAGGCAGAAGCACCGCTCGGAGTCACAGCCTGGATTTTAAAAGGCAGCTACAGAAATTCCGATTTTTAGTAATTCCTAACAAGTCCTTACGCCTCCAGAACTAAAGCACCTTGTTTTCTGGAAATTTCAAGACCAGTGAAACGAGAAGAGCCAAGCGAGAAGCGGAAACGTCGCTCACGTGTTACCTTTGCGGAGGAAAACCAGGCGCCGTTAACTGCGGCTGGGCCGCTGGCGGGGTGTGACGCTCCGGCCGTCTGAGGGAGCGTTAATGGTCCATTTCATTTACCCACGGCTGGTACCACCAGGACACGTTTTTAGAGTTGGGGAAAAACAAACCAAACCACAAACCACAGACCCCACTGCTTTCCAGAAGGTTCACCCAGAGGCCTCCAAAGTCTGAGCGTTCCTGCGGGTTTAGGCGCAGGCTGAGAAATCCAGAGGAACAGGTCCTCGAGCCGACCGGTCACCTCGGCCAGCACCTCCTCCAAATTCCCCCGGTAAGCCAGCGCTGCCCCGCGCCACCGCGAGAGCGAAACGCCGGCAGCTGACGGGAACCCAGCCAGCCCTGGGAGGCACGTTCCAGTCTGCCACCTGCTTTGTGAACAAATCGCGAGGGACTTTTTGGCCCCGCAACCCACAGCAACGGTCGGGCAACACAAATGGATTGTTTTAGGGGGCAGATAAAAATGGAAACATCCGATGGAAGAACCTCCAAAGACCCCTTTCCTTCCTCCTCTGGTTCAACGCACGCGACCACAGTGCCCAACACTTACCTGGGACAGGACTCTTGCTCGAGCTTAAACTCTGAGCCTCTGTGCTCTCCTCCAGTTGCCCATCTGCTTCTGTCTCTTCCTTCTTGTCAGGATCTTTTACCTCTTCGTTAAGAGTAGTTCTTGTGCTCTCCTCTCCTTCTAAATCTCCCTGAACAACAGGGAGGGCACTAGGAGATGGGAGAGGAGGTGGAGAAGGAGGTGTAGTGGTAACGGGG